CAAAGTAGGTTGCATGTGAACTTAGGAATTGTTTTCTAGTTTATTTGTTTTACCTAAAACCCATCAAAAACATAGGTTTAAAATAGTAAAAATCGTTCTTCCCATCGAATTAATATATAACTAGTAAAAAACTCGCGGCTACGCCGCTTTTGGGGTAATATGGGAAAAATCGGCAAACTTTAAAAGATATGTGCTGAAATTGTAAATCACCACAAATAGGGGAGAAAATCGACAACTCGTAAAATTAGATGTTAAAAGTGTACAACCAAAAGAAAAGACATTGGTGGAGAAAATCCAAAAATGTTGTGGCAATAACGTTAAAATTGCCAAAGTTAGGGAAAATATGGTGGTAAAATTCTAAAGGAGGTTTTTGTGTTTTTTATGTCAAAATGTAAAAGTGTTGTCTACAAGGACGAAAAATGTCAAATTCATTAAAGATTTGTGGCAAAAACACCAAAATGTAAAACTTTTGACTGCAAGGACTAAAAGTGTCAAAGTCACTAAAAATTTGTGGCAAAAACCTAAATGCACAATAACTTAATGAAAATGCAAAAATGTAAAAATTTTGACTTTCGGGACGAAAAGTGTCAAATTCACTAAATATTTGTGGCAAAAACCTAGAAATAACAATTAATGAAAATTTGGGGGCACAATTTCAAAAGAAGCAAAGTATACTCTTGTTAAGGTCCATGAGATTTAATATATATATATATATATATATATATATATATATATATATATATATATATATATATAAATGAATGATATTAGAGTAAATTACACGAATGGTTTCTATGGATAGGGATAATTTACACGTTTGGTCCCTAACTTATTTTTTTAATTTGAAAGGTCCATACTGTTTGTTTTTATTACGCGCTTGGTCCCTGATGTTTGTTTTTGTTAGATGTTTGGTCCCTGTCTTACCTAAAAATACTATTATTTAAATAGAGAAAAATGGTAGGATATGTAGGGTAAGGTGAGGGGGTGGGGTTGAGAGTTGTTTATTTAAATAAATTAAAAAATCAAGGGCAAAATAGTCTTTTTAGGTAAGACAGGGACCAAACAAGTAACAAAAACAAACAGTAGGGACCTTCCGAGTTAAGAAAATAATTTAAAGATCAAATGCTCAAATTACCCTAAACTATAGGGACCATTCGTGTAATTTACTCAAGATATTAAGTAACACCTTCTATGTACTTTAAGGGATAAATTTGAAAATATCAAGTTACTTGAAGAAATGAAATTTATATTTTATAAAAGAATTGTTATATTAAAAAAAAAGGAAATGAATAATTAATATGGGTCAATTGAAATGAAAGAAAAAACATGGTTGGTACATTTAGAATCTCCCATTCTTTTGCAAAGAATTCATAAACATGGTTGGTACATTTAGAATCTCCCATTTTTTTGCTAATTTTTTTTCAGTATCATACGTTCAAATTCTATCTTTAAATGTAAAAACAAACCAAAGTAACATTAGCTACACCATTACTACTCTTCATTTTCTAACCTTCGAATTACTACTTACTTTGTAAACCTGCAAGTTCAATATCATATGTTCAAATTCTATCTTTAATTATTTTTCTATGTTCTTTTCCATAATTGTTCGCGAGCTCCTCAACATCCTTCCAAATTAAAACCGACCTTCCACCAACACTCCATACTTTGTAAACCTGCAAAAAATCTGTGTCCTTTAGAAACAATTAGAGGGCTGATTAGCAATAGTACCACCATACATACAGAAAGTACATGCATGCGAGAGAGAGATAGAAAGGGTATTATATTAGTTGGATGACCTTTTATATATATATATATATATATATATATATATATATATATATCAACTATAAATCAACTATAATAATATAATAAAAGAAGATTCATTTTGCTATATGTAATAATTGTCATCTTATTTATAATTAATAGGTTTTCTTCGTTCCTTATTTCAAAATTTTATTAAAAAAAATACTTAATGTTTAAGTTTTAATATTTAATCTTTTGAAACCGTTATAATACATTTTACACCTAATGTATATATGGCAAAATCCAACATATGTGAAAATCATTTTTTTCAGAGATAAGAATTACTATTTTGAAAAGGATGACACAGTTAAGTTTTTTTACTTATCGAAACAATTCGAAAATAGGTATTGTACGTTCTCAATATAGCCGTAATGAACTTGTTATCAATCTAAGATCGACAGAATATGTATGAATAAAAAATCTAATATTTTAAAATACAGTACCTCATTATAGCAGTCGTGGTAAAACCCTGTAACACACCCAACCCACAACCATAGCAATAGCGGAGATAGGAATATAATAACGTCTACCACCACCGGCACCATTATCGTTAGCCTGACCACCACCGGTGCCATCACCGTCAGCATTATCGCCATGAGGGCTAGGAGGATCTATGTGACCAGCATTAAGACCATCGTGATTATCAGACTCAAAACCAGAAACAAAGCTGTCAAAATAACGTTCTGGGTCATCATTTCCATCAGTAACCCGCTCAGCTCCATCCCCAGCATTACCATGGGGCATCTGACCTCCCCCACCAGATTCCAGCTTCTAAATCAATGATTTCGAGCGGATTTTGCTGCATCTCCCCTAATGGCGGAACTCCATCGTTACCCTGAGCCATTTCACCTCCCCCACCAGCATTCCCAGCTTCCAGATCAATAATTTCGGGTGGATTTTGATGCATCTCCCCTAAGAGCTCAACATTGGCATTCAGCCCCTCACCTCCAACCCCATCATTATCATGTGGCATCTCACCTCCCCCACCAGCTTCCAGATCAATGATTTGGGGTGGATCTTGCTGGATCTCCCCAAAGATACTAACATAGTGGTGTCGAGGAACTACAGGTTGACCACCAGCCATATATCGTTCTCTTATTTGCTCCAATCGCGCTTTCAGTTCACCAGTAGTAAGAAACCGAGGTAGGCCAGTACTGGCGCGACGAGCTGCTTGAAACCATTGTACAGCATTGAAACCGTCGGGATGAGTGAGCGCTGTGGTTGTCAACTCGAAAGCAACCGCTTCAACAGCGGTTGCCTCATCAATATCATCGATAATTAAATCATTGTCGACGTTTTCCTCGACGTTCATGCTTTAGAGTTGATATATATATATATATATATATATATA